GGTAGTGGAGGGCGGGGAAATTGAGGGTAGTGGAGGGCGGATCTGGCGAGGCAGCTCTTGCTGTGCGTTGGAAGGTGGAGAGGAGAACGAGGGGATTGGTGAAAGAAGAGAATCGGGAACAGGGAGGAGGAGAAGGTGACTTGTGCGTGGCAGTGACTCGCAAGAGAGGGGAGACACGATGGCGATTCAGCTAGGCCCAGCGGTGACACAGAGGAAGGAAGACAGGCAGAACTCAATAGGCGCCGATAAATTCAGTGGTGCGGATGAAGGCTGATCGTAGAGGGGACGGGAAAACCAGGGAAGGCACCGAAAGGGGAAAGGGAGAGACGAGAGAGGCACTCACTAGGCGCCAATGAGGTCAGTGGCGCAGATGAATGGCGTGCCATCATCCTCCAAGCCTGCAATCACAGGCTCGATGAAGTACGGCCCGAACCTGATAGCCAGGTGTGGGTGAGAGGTAAGAGAATAAAAAGAATAGGGGACAAGAATGGGAGAGAGAAATGCTGGGGGAGAGGCAAGTATGGGAGAGAATTCACCCCTCATGACCTATTCATTCAAGTTATTCGTTGCTGCCTCACACTCTACTGTAGCTGGCCTGGCAGTCGGCATGCCTCGGTGCTCCAATGCTGACTTCACCTGAATGATGCTTCTCATTCCCTGCTGCTTCCGTCCCCCTGTCAATTGCTTTTGACACTTCTAACAAGTGATGGCGGGTTGACAATTAAACGACGAGGTGAATCCACAACCATCCAAATGACGCAAATGTGGGTCGAACCTGCGCGTCCCACGACTTCAAACAACAAATATGCACACACTAACGACGAGGCAACAACAACACTGGCAGCACCTGCGCTCGTAGAGGATGGAGCTGACGAGGTGGGCGAAGGTGGCGGGTGGCATGACTCGGTCCTCCCTCAGGGCGAACAGCTTGTGGCGAAACTCCAGGCGCTGCTTGCTGTGACGGTGGGGCAGAGGCGGGAGGAGGAGAGGGGGGGGGAGGGAGGAGAGGGGAACGGGGAGGAATGGTGGGGGGAGGGAGGGTGAGACGAGGATGTGATAATCGGAAGTGCAGAGCAGGGGAATGGAATGGAGGTGACAAGGAAGGCACTACTGGGACACTGCAGGCGCTGCTTGCTGCAAAGGGCTTGAGAGATCCCAGTAACGCCATGCCTTCCTCCTACCTGCAATCCCCCAGCTGCCCTCTCAACTCCTAACTTATCCTTTGCCTCTTACCTCCTTACTTCAACCCTCGCCCCACATCCCTGCCCCTCCATTCTAGCCGTCACACTCGCGCCCTGCACTGCACATGCCAGCCAACAGGCCGTCCATACCTACTTTTTGCGTGCCATCCGCACCTGCCAGCCATCAGCATGCTTCCCTGCGCACCCAACCATGCACTGTGTGTCCTGCTGCTTCTATCGCCCCTCCCATCCCCCTTCCGCACATCCTAGCAGCATGCGCGCCACTCACAGCGTCTGCACGTCCGTGCCCCGCCCAGCGAGGCCAAGAACGAGTCGCGGGTGGATCCGAAAGGCGCGGCTGAAGTCCGTCGCCAGGGCCTGCAGCGGCAGCTGCACCCACACTGCCCATGCCCCACTCCCCCACGTTACCCACCCGCACCTGCGATCGTCATGTCCCCCTGTGCATCTCCCATACCCCATCCCACCTCGCTTCACCCATCCGCACCTCCCACGGGCATGCGCGGCACTCACAGTGTTTGCACATCCGTGCCCAGGCCGGCAAGGCCCAGGAAGAGGCGCGGGTGCATCTGGAAGACGCGGTTGAAGTCCGTCGCCAGCGTCTGCAGCTGCACGCCGAAGCGCCGGTCGCACGCGATCGCCACGCACTTGTCGCCCTTCATCGCGACCACCGCGCCGCCGTTGTACGACGTGATCTGACGACGATGGGGGTGCGAAGGAGGTGTTGAGAGGGGTGCGGAGAAAAGGGAGGTAGGTGGGTGCGGGGAAAGGGGGGGGGGAGCGGGGGAGGGGGAGAGTGGGGAAGAAGGGAAGGAGATTGTGAGGGGTTGCGGAGAGAGCGGCAGGGTGTGGGGGGGGAGCGACGCAAGGGGGTGTGGAGTGGGGTGCGTTGGGAAGTTAATGGCGATGGCGATCGCCGCTCCGCTATCTACCGTCCACACGGCCGCTGCGGAACCTGCCATCAGTGTTGTCACTACGGGTGGTATCGTGTTTCCCCTGTACGACGTGATCTCAACGGGAACGCGGAAAGAGAAAGAGGAAAGTGGCGCCGCCAGGTCTACGCGAAGCGACGGCCTCTGATTGAACGTGGAGATCGAGATCGACGGCTCTGGTGGACGGCTTCTTATTGCGCTAAATTTCAACCAGCGGTCGAAATCTGGAAATCGCAGCAGGTAGGAGATGGGCCGGGAGGCAGCGCACCAATCCGCGCCGTTGATGAGATTTACTGGACGGTGAGAGATTCACTTGGAAAGCGCGCACGGAAGGAATCGGGAAGAAGAGTATCACTCACCGACATGGCAAATCGATCTTTCTGCTTATAGCGCGAACAGGCAAGTTGTGCTTTCAGCTTACGACGCGACCAGGCGAATTGAATTTTTGAAGCGCGCAACTAAGCGAATCAAACTTTACGCCAGGAACTGCGGGACGGAATTCCTAGATCGACGGGCGGAGCGCGAAAATAAGTAGCTGCCAAGTTCGGCGGAGAGAGCAGCAGCCTAGAATCTGAATCGGCCTAACACTGAGGACAGGAAAAGGTGAATGGGAATGCTGGGGAGATCCGAGAGCTTTTATTGCGTGACCCGTTTGGCGGAAGTTTGATGTTCTGCAATTTGAAGGAGTGGAAGTGCACCTTTACACTTCAAAACACTGAAAAACGAATGTGAATGTGGAGCACTTACATGACACGGCGTGTTAGACTACTACCATATTTAGCACATCGCATGCACAGCAGAACGAACCGAAGACAGTCACATCAGAAGCTAATCTGGAATGACTACCATCCTAGCCAATCACAACCCACCAAACATGAAACTAGTAAAAGACGCTGTTGCACAGTGGCACATGATGACACATTCTTGTGTGTGCCGTTCCGGTGCCACTTCTGCACTTTGCTTCGCAACCCCATGAGTGGTAGTCTTGGAAGAGGGGAATCGGCCGAAAATGGAAGACAGGGAAGTTGTCGCAGCAAAGCCATACGTGTGAGGGTAGTGAGAGAGAGGTGAGCCCCTATAATCACCGCTTCACACCCTTCTCTCCACCATGCGGCACAACCCTCACCACACTCCAGTGATCCCATTCCCAAATCTCCCCATATCCCCATATCCCCATCCCTCATCCCCATCTACTGGACCGTTGCCGCCCTCCCTCCTCCCTCCCCCTGCTCCTCTCCTCTCTCTCCCCGTATCTCCCCCGCTCCCTATCCCTATCTCTATCCCTGTCCCTGTCCCTGTCCCTGTCCCTGTCCCTGTCCCTGTCCCTGTCCCTGTCCCTGTCCCTGTCCCTGTCCCTGTCCCTGTCCCTGTCCCTGTCCCTGTCCCTACCATCATCTCGGTCGCTCTCTCTGTATCTCTCCCGCTCCCTGTCACGATGCCGATCCCCCTCCCTCTCTCTATATCTCTCCCTCTCCCTCTCACTGCCTCTCTCCCTACCGCCATATCCGTCCCTTTCCATCTCCCTTTCCCTCTCCCTCTCCCTATCTCTGTCGCTCTCTCTGTCTCTCCCTCTTTCCCTGTCCCACCCTCTCTCCTGACCCCCACCCCCTGCCTCCTCATGACCATCAACCCCACCTGCACTCGCACCCATGCCTGCAACCGTCCCTGTCAACCCCCCTCCCATTGCCATCCCTCCCGCTGCTGCCCCTCCCAGGCCTGCTGCCCCTCCCAGGCCTGCTGCCCCTCCCAGGCCTGCTGCCCCTCCCAGGCCTGCTGCCCCTCCCAGGCCTGCTGTCCCACCCACTCCCCCGGGAGCCTGCAGGCCCAGGCTGGCAGCGATGGCAGCCGCCTTGGCTGCAGCCGCTGCAATCGCAGCCGCCACCACGTCCGCCCCCATGCTGCTGCCACTGCTCACACCACCAGCACCAGCAGCAGCAGCGCTTGCCCCCCAAGCTGATTCTGTGACCGCTGCTTGTGGTGCTGCAAAGCCAGCAGCAGCAAGGGTAGCAGCAGAGGGCGGAGGGGGAGGGGCAGCAGAAGCAGGGGGGGGAGGCGGAGGGGGAGGAGGGAGGTCTGGGACAGGGTCGCGGGGGTGGGGAGCGGAGGCGGCGACAAAGGAGGACTTGAACTTGGCCATCATGCCTGATCGCAGTGCATCCACCGCCCCTGCTCGTGTGCTCACCCTGCTGCCCCCACTGCTGCCCCTGCCCCTGCCACTGCCACCAGCGGCAGCACTACCACCACCACCGCCAGCAGCAGATGCGCCATCAACACCCAGCGATCCCCCAGACACAAACGCATTTGCTGCACCCCCTCGTCCCCCACCTTTCGCCCCCACGCCTCCTCCCCCTCCCCCTCCCCCTCCTCCCCCTCCCCCTCCCCCTCCACCTCCCCCCTCCTGGAAGCCCAGCCCCATGCCATAGTCCACACCCCGCGCCCCCCTCCCCCCTCCCCCTCCGCCTCTTCCCCCCTTGCCCTTGCGGAAACCTGTGGATGGTGAGGGGCAAGGGTGGAGAGCCGAGAGGGATGAGAGGAGGAACGGTAAGGCAGGGAGGCAGGCAGAGGGGCGCAGGAGGTTGAAGAGCGGGAGAGATGCACGAAGGCGGGTTGCAGGGGAATGGAATGGCAACGACTAGGTAGGTAGGGAGGAAGCAGGGGTCATATGCGGTTCTCCGAGAAACAAGCTAGTGCAACGGGTGCAAAAAGAAAGGCGAAAAAGCAGGTGAATTTCAGGTTTTTCTTTTACCAAAAAAAGGGTGGGAGGGAGAAAGGGGGGGGGGTGGGGGTGGAGGGGGAGGGAGGGATGGGAGAACGCGGGAGGAGGTAGGGGTAAATGGCAAAAGACGGTGGGGGGGAAATTGGAGCACAGTTACTCACCTCCTCTCCCCTCCCTCTGTGCTCTGAACCGAGCATCCTGCGAGCCAAGGGAACAACACGGCACAGGGGCGGCGAGTTAGGGACGAAGGAAACAAGGAGACGAGAAAGCAGAGAGACACACCAGGCAGCAGCACCTTCATCCACACGCCTCCTCCCCCCACCACCCCCCCTTCTCCCCTCAATCGCCCTCACCTCACCTTCATGATTCATCGCCATCTCGAGCAGCTCCCCCGGAACCTCCTGCCCCTCGACCGCCAGGCACCCCAGCAGCTCGCCCTCACCTGTCCGTGAAACCCATCACCACTCCTCAGCCAAGTCATGTCAAGTCAACTGCGCCCCACCCCTCACTCTCACCACCAGCCCCACCCTCTCACCTTCATTGCTAGCTCCAGCAGTTCAGCCGGCACCTCCTGCCCGCCAGCCACCAGCCACCAGCCACCAGCCACCAGCCACCAGCCACCAGCCACCAGCCACCAGCCACCAGCCACCAGCACCTTCATCCAAACGCCTCCTCCCCCAACACCCCCTCATTGCTTCCCCCAATCCGCCTCACCTTCATTGCCAGCTCCAGCAGTTCGGGAGGCACCTCCTGCCCGCCAGCCACGAGGCATCCCACCAGCTCCCCCGCAAACCGCGCCTCCTTCCCCGTCACCACCGAAATCGCCACTCCGTCCGTATCCCCCGCCCTGCCCGTCCGCCCCACCCTATGCACATGCGCGTCCATATCCCTCGCACTATCCAAATTAATAACCGTTTTAATTGACCGGATGTCTAATCCCCTGGCTGCTACATCTGTGGCCACCACCACATGCAGGTCTCCCTTCTTCAGCTGCCGCACCACCTCGCTGCGTCGCGATTGGTCCAAATCCCCGTGCAGCGCGCCGACTTTAAACCCCGCGGCGGCTACAGCTGCGGTTACCACATCCACCTTGGCTTTCGTCCCGGCGAACACAAGCACGTCCCCCTCGTCCACCCGCGCCCCCAGCTCCCCCAGCAGCCACGGCAGCTTCGCGTCATCCCCAGGCAGCATCACCACCTGCTGCCGCACGTCGGTGTTGGCGGCGCCCACCTCCCCCACGGCGATGCGCACGGGGTGCGTGAGCACATCGCGGGCGAGGCGCTCGATGCGGCGCGGCATGGTGGCGGAGAAGAGCAGCGTCTGGCGGTCGGGGCGGATCTGCGCCACGATGGCCCGCACCTGCGGGGAGTCGAGGCAAAAGAGAGGGGAAAGAGAGAAGAACAGCATGTCCGCCGTGCCGTGTTGAGTCAGCAGTGTTGAGTCATGGTTCTCAGAGAGCGGAAGAGCAGTCATACAGTGAGGCTTAAGCGAAAGTACAACAGTGGGTTACCATACCTGTGGCCATGGCGAAAGTACAGCAGTCATAAAGTGCTCAACAAGCTCTCACCTGCGGCTCGAAGCCAAGATGGAACATCATATGAGCCTCATCCAGCACCAGGAACGTGCAACTAGGCTGACGCGATAGGAATCATGCATGAAGCTCAAACCCTCACCTGTGGTTCGAAGCCCAGGTGGAACATCATATCAGCCTCGTCCAGCACCAGAAACGTGCAGCGTCGCAGCGACAGCGCCTTCATCTTGAGCATGTCGATCAGCCGCCCGGGCGTCGCCACCACCACCTCCACCCCGCCCTTGAGCTCTTTAAACTGGTCGAATTTCGACATCCCGCCGAACACGCCCGCGACGCGGAGGTTTAGGGGTTTCGCGAATCGTCTCGCCTCCGCGTGGATCTGCGCGGCCAGCTCGCGCGTCGGCGCGCAGATCAGCGCGATCGGGCCCTCCCCGCGCCCCGCGCGCGGCTGGTCCGCCGCGTGGACGATCAGCGGGAGGACGAACGCGGCGGTTTTTCCGGAGCCGGTTTTCGCGACGCCGATGACGTCACGGCCGCTGAGGATGACGGGGAGCGCGGCGGACTGGATGGGCGTGGGCGCGGAGTAGCCGTGCTTGCGCACTGCGCCCATCAGCGCGGGGGGAAGCGCGGCGTGCGCGAACGCGCTGATCGGCCGCGGCACGTCGAAGCCCGACGTGCGGATGGAGAGCGACGCGAGCCGCGCCGCCACGTCGGCTGCTGACATGGCGGTGACGTCAGAATGCTCTTGATAGAAATCCTTCTCGAACTCGTCGTATTCGATCGCGGAGTGGTCCACGTGGCCTAGCGCGTCCATCTTGCTTTTTAACGACGTTACCGAGTCAGCTACTATCGGATTATCGTCCGAGTCGTACTCTAACGCGGACCCAGCCGCGCCGCCCGCGGCGGCGGCGGCGGCGGCGGCGGCAGCGGCGTCGACGGCCTTGGCGGCGGCGTAGACCTCCTCGTCCGAGTCGTACCCGCGCCCCATCACCGCCTCCGCCGCCACCGACAGCCCCGCGCTCTTGCGCGCGCGGAGGAACGAGTCGAGCAGATCCGCCTCCTCCTCCTCCGCGCGCCAGTCCTCCCGCTCCGGCTTTGCCGCTTCCCCCGACTCCCCGCCCTTCGCGCCCGCCGCCGCCGCCGCCGCGCGCGAAGTGGCGGCGACCGCGTCCTCCTTCACCTTCTGCTCGATGCCCGACATGAACGCGTCCAGCGGATCCTCCTCCTCCTCTTCCGCCGCCGCCGCGCGTCGGTTTCCCTCGTCGTCTTCTCCTTCCCCGTAACCAGTGGCCGTCGTGGTGCCCCCCGCATCCCCGTCATCGCGGTACTCGATATCCGCTATATCGTCGTCGTCGTCGTCCGGCAGCGACCGCCGACCCGAGCCGCCGCGGTAGCCGGCGTAGCTGCCGCCGCCGCCGCCGAAGCCGCCGTACGATCCGGCGGAATTCACGGGCGGCGTGTACGCGCTTCCCCCCGAGCGCACGAAGCCAAAGCCGCTGCTTCCGCTTCCGCTCCCGCCCGCGCCACGGCCGCGCGAGGCGGAAGGTTCGGTGGAAGCATCTGCGCCGGCGACGGAGAATTTGCGCTTCCACATGCCCGGGCGAGGAGGGAAGAGGCAGAGGCGGCTGCAGACGAAACCCTCAAACACTCTCTTTCGTGCAACCCTGAGGTAATATCTCCTTCCTGAAACGACCTGCGCACACGAAAGCAGCGAGACTGCTAGCGGCGCGTAACCTACTGGGCTCGGGAGTGGTAGCTATCTATCGCTTCTGGGAAATGGTGCGACTAAAAATCTTAGGGCGGGGGCAGCGCGTTCATTTTCTTGGCTTAGCCCGAAACAGTTACCAGATTCAGCGGTTTGTAACCCTGATTTAGAGTAACGAGCGGACACGATGGAGTATACAGTGGATGAACGGTGGCTGTTTTCCGTGCCGTCAACCGAACAGAACACGTTCCCACGACGGCCGCGAACAACACGCGCATCATTCGAGAATGCCTGTGTGCAGGTCAGCGAAACCGCACCACGAGTTCGTCAAGCGCGTACGACCCTCGCAAATTCATGGGTTCACAAATACAGCTTCGTACTGCTCCCCGTCACCAGATCCACTAGCACAGGGTTACCTCATTGGGTGGGCGGTTGGGCAAAAGTGTGGCGGGACCTGTGCCTAATTCTGGACGCGCGTGTCCCACCTGGGACACAAACTAAGCGCGGTGCAAAAATGCTACAGTATTTTCCTGATTCGACGGGCGTCAAAATTTTGGAAAAGTGGAGAAAATGAACGCGCTGCCCACGCCCTTAGTGGCTTGTGCACCACTGCATCGCCTGTGTGAGATCGAGCCGAGACTCGGGTCCCCACGAAGTGGCGAGTGTTGGTGAAGGGCGGCTCCGCTATTGAGTGACAGGCTAGAGCCGAAAAGTGAGAAAGATGGAGAACAACTGAAACTGTTATGGGAAATAAATTGGGCCTCACATAGACCCAGATTGGGGTTCTATCACGAACAACATCCTCCCTCAAACTGTACACGTGGGAAGCCCATTGAGAGATGGACACGTATGCAACTCCGTTATCGAGATACTGTAACAACAAATCCCGAACGAGCCGTCTGACGAGTCCGAGTCGTAAAAATGGGTCGCAGCAGGGGTTTGTAAAAACAGCATACCCGTAATTTCAAGAGCATCGAGGAAGCTAGATCCACGAAATCTCCTTGCTCCCAAAACTGATTCCATGATTTTAGATTTCGAGTGATGCACCGAGGCCACCCTCCGGGTTTCCGAGATTTCTTCGTGTCGACTGAGCCTCGATGTCCCTTCAAAATCGTGTCTAAGTTCGGGTGTTAAAACTCATGTCAAGTAGAAACATCAGAATGAGATTTAAAGGACCAGTAGTAACAGTGTTTAAACTCCCCTCTCCTGCTATGCCAGTTGAAAGTGACAGCACAAACCACGTTCTTGTACAAAGAATTATTCTCTTCTTTCGCTGCCTGTTCGTCTTTTGCTGATGGTTTAATAAGAAAGTCCCAACACTCATATTTCTCTTTGGGAAATCTCCTGCCTTCCACCACCACACTTTCTGAAGAAACACCAGCCCTTCCTCACACAAGGCATTAAGCCACAACTCAGAACAGGCAGGGGACTTGTTGGGTTTGGCCCGAGCGGACCAGGACATGATAGATTGCGCCTGGATCTTATCGCGAAAAAAAATCGGGAATGTACTGTGGTGCATCTCCAACAGAACCTATCCGCGAAACCACACTTCTGAAGCCCAACGGTAGGCGTTCGTTCTAGAAACTCTACAACAAATCGTGGTTGGCCGTCTGATAACCCGGGTCGCGGTTGAAGGGCTCTGGGGTAAGCCACTGCAGTTGTGGTACTTGCCTGCGCCATGCACCATCGCTTCCACTCGCCACTGCGTTCACTTCTATACTGGTACTCCGCCTTTTTTTTGTTTTTGTTTTTGTTTTTGTTTTTTTTTTTTAATTTCTATGAGCGAAATTTCGCGCTGACAGTTCGGAGCCGGGTTTCCGCCATTGCTATTATCTCGGATAAACGGCGATTTCCCTCATGGAGCGTGCAGCCCTCGGCGCGCTGCTCCTGCTGACGTGTCTCGCAGTATCACGCGTTGACTGCGTTCCCCTCGTCAATTCCCAGGGTATAGTAAACGTTTGGCGCTTGGAGCGGTGACGAGCCTCGAGCGGTGAGAGAGCAGATGGGAGAGGAGACAAGTGTATATAATTCGACGTTGACTCGACTTGAGCATGGCATTGACTCGTCGCTTCTCCCTGCTCCTTTACCCCATCGCCCTTTCATTGAGCGCGAGACTGTGATGCGATCGGTCGAACCATCAGAAGTCCTCCTCTTCTCTTCAAATCCCTGCCTTCCCTCCTCCTGCCGCCAGCGCAAGTGCTGCTGGACTGTCAGAAGGCGTGGAACACAACGATTGATGGCTGGGTGGTTGGTGGAGAATGCAGCAAGGCAAGGAATGTCACGTGCGATGCCAAGGGCATGATCACAGCCATGTGAGTGGTGACAGCCATGTGAGTGGTGACAGCCATGTGAGTGGACCCTTGGGCGTCGTGGCTAAAATGGTCGGCCCCATTGCCTCAGATAGAAGGCCCCCTTGCCTCGTTGCCTCGCCGTGCTCCCCCTTCCGGTTCAAATGCTGGCCAAGTGCTGATGACGTGTTCCCAAGATATTGTCACGTCTGTAATATTGCGCATCACCATGAGGGTTGCCTGCCTACGTGCACTTTTCCCATGTTATCGAACTTGATGGGATCAGAATCACAACGTGCTGGGTGATGGGGGTCACAAAGCCGTGTGTGGGTATGATAGGCATCCGTAGGACGATGCGGAGTTCGCACTAGTACGGACTGGAGGCCCAGTGTCCCCTCAATAACGAGTCCAGAGAGCTTTCACACTCTCCGAGAAATTGTTTAGCCCTTGTACCATGCAAGCGTACGTTATTCACTACTGTTGAACTTGTTCTCTGTTGTCCTCTCATCAGAACCATGGAGCAAGAAAGTTTCAATGGCACGATTCCCGACTCCATTAGCAATCTTGCAAATCTCAATACCTTGTGAGTGCCGTTCTTCGTGGGCTTTGTCTCGAGTTGGAGGTATGCTCGCGTTGAGCTCTGCAGGTTTCAATCCCGGTTCGCCACGCGACGTGCGAACTGCGGACATTCGCGATGATCCGGGGCTGTTCGTGACCTCAGATCCTAGATCCTTGGAGTTACAGGGTGGTTCTGAGAATTCCCCAAAACACGCGGCAACTTTGAGGGTTCTCAGATTGCAAATTCTGAGCTAAAAAAAAAATAAAAATAGTAATAATAATAATAATAATAATAAAACCTGCGAGGTTCGGGGCCTGTTTGTGGCACAAAGCTATCCTGCATCCCTTAAGACTCTCATTTGAGAGGAGAGTCCACCAAGTAGCTACTTAGGGCAGGATTGCGACGGAAATGCATCAGCAATGTGCTTCTGGAATCAAGGTTTAAGCTTTCGGGGTTTAGGATTTCATGCATAAACTGGATTCCCAACACATGCATGCCTGCCCTTGGTTCGCTGTGATCTTATCAGGGTCCTGGCGTACAGCATGTTGACTGGCACCCTTTCTGAGTCCATTGGCCAACTGCCAAACCTTCTTCACCTGTGAGTTCCGTGCTTGTTTGGGCTTTGACTCTGATTGGAGCTGTTGACGCATTGAGATTAGTTGGTGCTGCCATGAGCTGTGTACATTTGGAATTTGGAGCATCCGGCCGGCCCGGCCCGACCCGACCCGAGTTGGCCGGGCCACACGGGTTCCCGGGTCGGGTCGAACTCGGGCCAGGGTGCTGGAGGTTCTGGCCCGACACGGGTCTACACACTCGGGTCAACTTTGACCCGGCCACGGGTCGGGTCGGGTCGGGCCAGGTTGACCCGCCCCTTACTAGGGGGCAGTGGTGTTTAGGGTCTGTAGTTGAACGTGAGTGCTTTTGTTCTAAGAGAGGGTGTGCAGCCTCTAAGGTGAAATCGCGCTAGCAAAACGCGAAGTCGTGACATACGCTATTCCACCAGCGCGATTTCCTAAAACTGCAGCTTGACGCCTTCGTAGTAACAAGAAATGTCGGGTAACATGCTTTCGTAGGCTGGAAACTAACTAATAACTTAGCTTAGGTGACATTAGTGGCTGAACTCTGGCGCCAAGGCGCGTGGGAAGGTTCTGATGTCGAGGGTAAAAAATCCCCTCGACATCAAATTTGTTTAGGGTTTTGTACCCTGCAGGATCGAAATCGGGTCGGGCCAAAAGCCCGACCTGACTTCCCCTACTGTGACCCGAAGCCGGGTCGGGTCAAGCCTGACCCGAAACCCGGCCCGACTCGGCCCGACTTCCATGCTCGAGTCGGGTTTTAGCCCGGGTCAGGTCGGGTCGACCCGCGCGGGGCACAGTCATGAAATCCCTGACCCGACCCGCCTAAATCAAATCATCTCGGGTCAGGTCGGGCCGGCCCGACCCGCGCGGACCATATGCTCATGCTTAATTTGGAGTGTTGCTCTCTAGCTGTCTTCTATTCAATTCATCCCGTTGTTGCTGTATCATGCATTACGATAAGGTTCACCTGATTTTGCCTACTCCGGATCCCTGACACATGCATGCTTGCATGCACGCCATTTGTTTTCGTAACAGGGACCTTTACTCCAACAACTTGACTGGCGCCATTCCCAAGTCCATCACCAACCTCATACATCTCAATCACTTCTGAGTGCCACATTTTTTTCTAGCTTCAATTTAGATGGGAGCTCATGCCTTGACATTTGCAGGTGATTCCATGAGCTGTGTACTCTTTCTTGGTGTGTGCTCATGGAATGCGCTCTCCTGCTGTCTCCTATTCATTCTCTCCTGTTGTTGCTGTATCATGCATTGCCAGATGTGGTCCCTGCCAGCCTGCACCTCCTCCTGTGCACAGGCCCATGGCAAACTCGGATATGCCCTTTCCCGTCAAACTGTGATATGGGGCTGTTGCTGATCCCGAGCCGGGGCGTCTCGTGACAAGCTGGGCAGTCTTGTCCCATCACATGACAGCTTTGCATGGTTTTGCCTGTTTCGGCTTGTCGACAGGTTCCGGGCCGCTCATGGCTTGGCTCTTGCGGCTTGTTAAGCCGATTGGCACGACTTCATTGGGTCGGCTGGGCCAACTGCTTTTCCCAATTCAAATTCTCAACACTTGCATCCATGCCCTCCGTTATCTTTTCTTTTCAGAGACCTGGGAAGCAATGTGTTCAACGGCACTCTTCCGGAGTCCATTAGCAAACTTGCGAATCTTACTTACCTGTGAGTGCCATGCCATGCCATGCGCCTTGGGGCCATGCTTTGCTGCAGATTGGGCCTGTTGTGACTTCTCAATGCCCGGCTAATGCGGCTTATTGAGTCGGCTCGGGGCGACTTGAGACAACAAACGAATAAGCCGGTCTGCCGGTTGAGCCGCGTGCTCTTGCCTAGTCCGGATTGTCAGCACGTGCATGCATGCCCTTCGTTGCCTTTGCATTGCAGCCATCTGAACCACAACACGTTCAATGGCACCATTCCTGAGTCCATTATTAACAAGGCTAAAAAATGTGGTTTTCGTAAATTACGGTCCGTTTTTTACGGACGTATTGATTTAAAAAAAAAAAAAAAAAATCAACGGCCGTTTTTTGAAACGTGCTCTTTATCATGCTTGAAAAAAGTTGCCGTTACAGACATGGTTGGAGGTCTTCATTTCATGCTTTGAGATCTGCCTGTCTCGCGTTTTCCCATGTCTTCTTCGGGTAGAATATCGCTTCGACACGGTTCGACCCAAACCAACCCGACTTTGGAACTTGCTTGGCGTGGTCGGCCTGGCGTGTCGGCGTCTCGACGGGTTCCGGCTGCTCATTGCCCTTCTCTTGCAGCCTGACTAGGCTGCTGGGACACAACTTGAGATGAGCTGAACGAATGAGCCGAGCTGGCGGCTGGCTGGGCCGAGCTCATTTGAATTCTCAACACATGCGTGCTTGCATGCCCTTGGTTGTCTTATCAGAGACCTGGCTCACAACATGCTAACCGGCACCATTCCTGCGTCCATTGGCAACCTTGCAAATCTTGTGCATTTGTGAGTGCCTTTCCTGCTTCGGCTTCGTCCTTTGTCACAGATTGGAGCTCTTCTTGCCTTGAGACCTGCTGGTGTTGCCATGAGAGCTGTGTGCCTTTGGAATGCACTTCCCAGTTGCCCCTTATTCATTATCTCCTACTGTTGCTGTATCATGCATTACCAGTATGGGTGCTTGCCACCCTACAACTCCTCCCATGCAAAGGGATTCCTGAGTTAAACTCGGATAAGCCCTTTCCTCTTTCCTCGTTCAAACCAAGATGAGCTGGTAGCGAGCGTAGCTGGGCTCCCATTTTCTCATTTACAAGCGGTCATGGCTGCCTCCGTTTGCATGCCTTTTGTTCTCATGTCTCATTCTCTCAGGCAGCTTAGTTACAACAGCCTCAATGGCACAATTCCCGAATCCATCTGGGGGCTCTCGCGCCTTACGTACATGTAAGTACTTGCAGCTATTGAGACGTCTCGAAAAAGGCCCCGAAGTGGCTGGCTTCGTCTAGCCAACCAGAAGCTAGAATCAATCGAGCGTATTTAGCCCGCGATCGACCTGCGATTGGCTCGACAAAACATGTCTGTCAGCCGAGCCAGCCTTTTGGTTCAACGAGTCAGGCTCGACTCGGCTCGGCTTGACCCAATAGAACGGCCAAGAAGAAAGAAGAAAGAGAATCGGTTCGGGTACAACAACCTTTGATGAGCCAGAGGAGCCGAGTCACGGTTCGTCAGTGCGCTCATGTCTACCTAAATCAATGTTGAGTCTTTACCCCTCCACGGTTCAGCCCTGCGAGCGAACAAGCCAGGTTTGGAGGCAAGTTGAGCAAATGGCCCGGCCCGACCCGACCCGACCCGACCTGGCCGGGCCACACGGGCTCCCGGGTCGGGTCGGGTCGGGCCAGGCTCGACTTCCTGAAAGTTCTGGTCCGACCCGGGGCTACACACTCGGGTCAACTTGGACCCGGTCACGGATCGGGTCGGGTCGGGCCAGTCTGACCCGCCCTTTAGAGGGAGCAGGGGTGTATTGCAAGTATCGCTGGTAAAATGTGAAGTTGTAAAAAACGCCATTCCTGCATCGCGATTTTCCGTGAACAGCAGGATACGATAGTAAACTAGCTATAATGTCTGTCACGGAGGTTTGAACGGTTGGTAACTAAGTAGTTTCTAAGCTTAGGTGACTTGCTTGCTTGTTGCCGTTAGGCAAGATTGAGCGTCGGTAGGTTCTGATGTTGAGGGGATTAAAACCCCCCTATGGTTTCGTCCGCAGTGTGTCGGGTCGGTCGGGCCAAAAGCCCGAGCCGATTTCGGGTCGGGTCAAGCCTGACCCGAAACCCGACCCGACTCGGCTTGAGTTCCATGCTCGGGTCGGGTTTTAGCCCGGGTCGGTCGGGTCGGCCCGCACGGGGCAGGCAAATGAATCCACTGACCCGACCCGGGCTAAACCACGGGTCGGGTCGGGCCGGACCGACCCGCGCGGGGCAAATGCTCATCTCACCGTCAAATTTTGAGCTGAACCCTGGCAAAAAAACTCAAGCAGAATAAATCTCGACTCGACTAGAAACTCACCTGAAGCTCGCAGATTTGGGTGGATTAAAGCTCGACTCGGTTATGCTCATGTGTCAGTTGAGAGTGCCAGGGAGGAGGGTAGGAATAGTCTGTGAAGGAAGTAGCAGCTCGACACACTTTGGCAGGAGGAACTGGAACCAATTCAGCTGAGCTGAAACCGAACCGTGCTTCGATCCAATGCTCTTCTCATCTCGTAACATCTGTTCCTGATTTTGTATCCAAGCTCTGAATTGCCAATACCAATACTTCTGGGTCTTACTCCAGATTGGAACTTCGCAAGCTTGAAGCTATGCAGGTGTGATATACGCTCAGCTCACACACTTGCGTTTGGCCATTCCTCTCTCCTTTTGAAGTGCAGCTGGGTTCTCCATAACAACCTGAGCGGCTCCATACCAGCTGCCGTGAGCAGGCTCCAATCTGTGGCTTTCCTGTGAGCTTCTTAGGAACCATTTTTTTTTACTTCTCATTTCTGCAACTCATAATCTTGTCTATATTAACTCCCTTAAAGTGTGAATTGCACAAAGTTTTATCCAAGTTGGTTTCTTCACTGGACGGGTACTAGAGCGAAAGGCCGAGTTTAGAGCCATGAAGTAGGGGGCTTTGATAAGCTGTTCAAGGTGGATCGTACAATATATTTACCAATGGATGTCGTGGCTCTGCTGCTTTGCACCCAACGTCTAGTGGGGGCTTGGAGCCATGATGTAGGGGACCTTTGATGAGCGAAAAATGCAGATATTCCAAAGTTATGTTTAGGACACTCTAGGCTTAGTAAATATCGTCCATCATCTCTCGTCACGTGTTTGACTAGGCATGAGCAAAAGGCGAACCTGACCTGAACAGGTTCGCTTCGGACATTGACGAACGTGTTCGGTTCGATTCGAACCTGTTTTTGGTTTTTGGTTATGGAGAGGTGCTTGGGGGGGGTTATTGGGGGGTGACACACAGGCATGAGCACGGGCCGGGCCGGGCCGGCCCTGGTCGGGCCACGCCGGGCCCTGCAAAGCCCGGCCCGACCCGGGCCGAATCAGGGAGATTGTGTCCCGAGCCCGGGCATATGGTACTCGGGCCAGGGTGGCCCGACCCGGGCCGTGTAAGGCCCGACCCGGGCCGGGCCCGGCCCGGCCCGGGTGGTCATTTGATGCAGTAGCTCATGCTTTAGGGCCTGCTTTTAAGTCCCATGGCCCTAAGGGCCCGACCCGGGCCGCGCTTCGAGGCGGGCCGGCCCGGCCCGGCCCAAAATTGGCGGGCCAAAGGCGGGCCGCCGACGGCCCGGCGGGCCGGGCCGGGCAGGCCCGCCACGGGCCGAAACTAAAAATCTGTGGCCCGGCCCGGGGCAATTCCGGGCCGGCCCGACCCGGGCGGGGCCCAGCCCGGATTTTTGCTCATCCCTAGTGACACATTTAACATGTTTATTCAAACAAGCATCAAAATTTTGGGCGCGGCTAGGTGCATTTTATAAACCGAACCAGGCACGTTTGACCCAAGCATTCACGTCACATGCATGGTTTGAACATTTTTTGGCAAAAACAAACCTTGTTCGGTTTGCCCCAAGCATGTTCGAGTCAGATCCATGCATTTGGCTTTTTTCACGTGCCTATGCTTGACGACCACTCCATCTCCACAAAGTTGCGCAACAATTTTGGTTTCTTGCCACATGCATGTCTGCCCTCCATTCGTCCCCCACCAGGAACTTGAGCTACAACAGCCTGAATTTTGAGTCGACTCAATAGTCAACTCGTTTCTTGCCACATAAATGTCTGCCCTCCATTTGTCCCCTACCAGCAACTTGGGCTACAACAGCCTGACCGGCTCAATTCCCGATGCCATCACCACACTCACAAAAATAGCTAGCCTGTAAGTGCTTTTTGTTTCCTCGGTTGACACAACACAGGAGTGATACTTACTTGTGACCAAACCAAACACTCTCGTGTGCACTTCAAATCAGCTCTTTCAGGAACAAAACTTCCTTCCGCCACATACAATTTGATGAACATGTTTGAACTCAAGAAGAAGTTGATGAGTCCACCCAGCAGGTGGTTCGTTCCGAGCCAAGCCAGCTGGGCACATCCCGATCTCACCCTCGTAGGCTCGGCACAGCCCCGTGCCGCATGCATAGGTCTGAAGCTCTGCTTGTCTGTATGTACTGCAGTACCCACCTATCACTCCCTGCTTATGAGAGAACCAATACCTCGGTGCAGCTCTGCATTCTTCACTCAGTGTCCCATCCTTGAATGTGCTCATGCCAATCTCCTATCTTACAAATTGCAGAACTATCCATGACAACGACTTGAGTGGACCCATACCACCAGGACTGGGAAACCTTCTTAAATGTGAAATGCTGTGAGTGACCTGGTTGGCTACAAGAGTGGTGGGCTAATATTATTTATATGAGCTCAGACCTTCAATCTTTGTTTCCTAGACAAGGCATCAAGTAGTAGTTTTTACTCTACTGTTCATCTTCTGCTAAAAATCTCCTAAACTGCAGCTCTCCCAGCCTTCATGGCTGACAGACCCTAACTTGGTGAACCGTGTTGTGTGGATCGCACAAATCCTGTGCTCCTGGGATCTTCCGTACGTTCTCTTTAGCAGTCAATCTGTTTGTAGGCAAAGGATTGTTGCCACTTCCAAAGCAGCACCTTTTAGCAAACATTGCTCATCCATCCCACTGCATGCACTTCTCTCACCGCAATCAGGTTTCTTCATGGCAACAACTTAACGGGCCCAATTCCCGACTCCCTTACCAATCTCACTGCCCTCGGTGCCTTGTGAGTGCCATTCTCCTTGTGAGTGACATTCTCCTTGTGAGTGCCATTCTCCTTGTGAGTGCCATTCTCCTTGTGAGTACCATCCCTCCTTGGGTTGACATGTGAACCTCACAGCACCACACAGCACAGCACCGCACACCACAACTTAGCACAGCAGAGCACAGCACAGCACCCCACGCCCTGTATGCTCATGCTGAGATTGCAAGTTTGCACTCCTTGTCCTATGGATGGGGGCGCATGTACATGTTTGAAGAATAGGCCATCAGAAAGGATGAAGAAAATCGAGACTGCAAATGCTTTTGGGGGGCTTCATGTCAGTGCTCCTTATGCATCAATCAATGCCAAAACGTCCTCCACTTATTCCACCTTCGCATGTGGCATGGATGGACGTCACTAGATGTGAGTAGGTTGAGGGGTTAACTGGCTTATTGAGGCGGGTTTAACTGGTAAGACGGTCAGCCTGCTGTTGTATCAAGTGCTGGGGATGAGATTATGCACCAGGAAATGCTGTGAAGCGTTTCTATGCTCTTAGCTGCATATTACATGCTATATTGTTCTGTTTTGTGAAAATCAATCAACAGAAAAATGTCGCTTCCTCCCCCGGCCCCCCACCCACCCCCCTCCTCCCCCCCCCCACCCACCCTTCCTTCCTCCCCCCCCCCCCCCCCCCCCCCCCCCCCCCCCCCCAAATGCTAACATTGAAAGAACAATCGTTTTTTTCGCCAATTATGTTTTCTACAGTCGGTGTTTTTTCCGCCGTAAACAGTAGCATCACTTAGAGGCCAAGAGGCTGTGTTTCGACCCTTCATCTCTGCTTTATTATCTTCCCATGATATGAGTTGCAGAACTGGATTTGAAAACAAGCTGACTGGCTCAATTCCAGAAACGATCAGCAACCTTCAGAAGTTGGCCACCTTGTGAGTGTCTTGATCCCATGAGTGTCTTGATCCCATGAGTGTCTTGATCCCATGAGTCTCTTGATCCCATGAGTCTCTTGATCCCATGAGTTTCTTGATCCAAATGAGTCTCTTGATCCAAGGACCGAACGATTCTACTCCATTCCTTTGGCTTACATATCAATCTCTGTACTCAGCTGATTTCACCAATCATAGCAATCAACGTGGAGTGGTTGTTCACCCACTAACACATGGACATTTCTCTTCAAGTTGCTTGCTTTGCTTCTCAATCAATGCATGCCACATTGCTGTTCTCGTCCCTTTCCAGGAACTTTCGTGAGAATGAATTGACCGGAGCTATCCCATCAACGATTGGACAGCTGAGCAACCTGACACAAATGTGAGTTGACTTTGGACGATTTTTACTCGCTAGTGCTCTGAGCGTACTTGACCCAACGCTTCTAAAGGGTTGCTCACTCAATTATCTTGTGGTTGAGGGTGAGTGGTCACTTACGACTTTGCGCAACATACATACATACAGTCAAAACACTGTAATCGAACTTGCCAGCCAGTGCGTATCACCAGCAGCTGTATCCCAACAACGATCTTCTGGCTGTTACAAGGCATCTCTTTATAGCAATGTGAGCGCCACGATAGTGGCAAACAGAACGAATGCGAAGCATGGAGGTATGCCTTTAAAGGAAAACAGGCATGGAGGTATGCCTTAAAAGTAAAACAGGCATGGAGGTATGCCTAAGACAGGTTTCACCAGTTTCTCGTTGTTTTCTTTAAATAACAGATGAACGCATGCAACGTGTTTCCCTCTCTACGTTCGCCCCTTGCCTCCATGTGTTCTCCCATCAGAGGCCTTGGTGACAACAGTCTGAGTGGACCAATTCCTGACTCCATTTCCCAGCTTTCAAACCTGGTTGACCTGTGAGTCCTTATCGTTGTTGGATTGAAGTGAGGTAAGTGAGGTACAGCCAGATCCCAACTGTCTGATCGTTGTTGGAAGCACTCATGCCTTTGACCGATATGCAGGTCGTACCATCAGCTATGCAGCACTTCTATGCCTGCTCTCACCCCTCACATGAACGCAATGACTTCTCAAGCTGTCTGTGCGTACCTGCTCCCTAGCCCCTTCTGGACATTGGTTTTCTTATTTCAGACATGAGTCAAGCTTTGTCGGTGTTTTTTCTTCCTTACACTCCTACTTTACCGATTGCAGACGTCTAGGTGGAAACGACTTGTCTGGATCGATACCTGCTGCAATTGGCGACCTTACGCGTTTGACAGCTCTGTGAGACCCTTTATTCAAGGGTTGTATAATTCTATCATCACAATCTCTGTTCTTGTCAACGATCATTATGAACTATAGATGGGGTTTTGGCTAATTGTAAAAAATCCAAACAATGGTTAGCAAACATTACATTCAGGTTGTTCACAGTCAGCAGCAATAGAGGACTTTTGTCGATCGTGATTTGACGGAAACCTAGTCCACCAACACTGAGCGTTGATGTTCTTCCAATATGCCATAAATTTCCATCTTTGTCAGTCAACCTCGAATGATATCTCTATTACTCTTCTTCCCATGTGAATGGAGGAACCTTTCATCGGACTCTCTGTCTGGCTCCGTGCCATCATTTTCACGCCTCACTAACTTGAACTTTTTGTATCTACTTCGTTGCTCCTGAAAGAGTTTTTTTTCACAATCGACAATTGCTTGATATGGCTTGGATGTACAGAAATGCCTTCAATTCGTTTCTCCATCAATGCCATGCTATCCCTTCTCAATTTCTTCAGCAACCTTGCTTTGTGCATGTCCTGTGCTCTCCCCTCCCCTCATCAGAGACCTCTCCAACAACATCCTCACAGGCAGCATCCCGGAGCTCATCAACAACCTCGTCCAGCTTTCTTCCTTGTGAGCGCTCTTCTCGTATGAGTGGCAGCTCGTTTCCAAATAGTCGTGCCTGACTCGCAGCCAAAACCGTAGCTGATAGGTTTTTGGGTTTTCTCACCCACCACTGCAACATACTCGACCAGTGAAGAGATTGATGTTATATGAAGGGCCAGTATTGGGGGAGTGCACTAAGCAGTCTTGTATAAATAGTATCTGTAACCCTTTTTGGAGGGACCTCTCTTGTAGCCGGTTTCCAAGCAATGACCCGCTCGCATGTATTTTGTATCGCACTCCCTTGCATTCACACGTGCAGGAACCTGAATGGAAGTGGTCTCACCTGCCCTGCTGACTACTCTCCATGTCTGGCGGCGCAGCAGCAACCTCAAAGCATCTTCTGCCGCCAGTGCTCCTCCTTCTGCGCCACCTGCGGCAAGCCAGCACCTCGTGAGCCGAAACTATCTGTTCAGCTATCCCCATCCCATGCTTTGTCTCTATCTCACAAGAGCTTGTCCTGGAGTCTCACCGTTCAGGTTCACTCCACTCCCCGAGAACCTTCTCTGCATGCATGGGGGGGGTGGGGGCATCACGCCAGCAGCAACCACCAGCAGTGCTGCTGCTCTTTCTAGACTGCAGAGTCTATTTTGAAGTTACATGTTTTGAGACGTCTCAAAGCACTACTTCTTTCACGTGCTGCTGCTCTTCTTGGACCGCAGAGTCAAATCCAAAGTGACTCGCAAATGATTGCAACCGCTGTTGTCACCACCCCTTGATGCCCCACGTCTATCATTGTTCCCCCCCTTCCCCCACCCCCACTACTACCTCCCCAGCAGCACCCCCCCCGGCCTCACCACCACCACCCCCCGCTCCTGGAAAGTCTGCCACCAAGTCCCTTGGCCTGTCAGCAGCAGCAGCCATTGCTGGCATTGCCGTGGCTCCTATGGCTTCCCTGCTGCTGCTCCTCTGCGCATCTCTTTGAAGCTGCTCTTCGAATATGGAGTCGATTCTGGAGGAGGAGCCAATAGCCGAGGCTGTTCAAGTGGACAATAAATCTGATGAAGCTTGCTGTGAGGTTGAGACAGCACATGCGTTGGTCATGTGATTGTTGAATGAGATCACAACAGGGAGCATGTGAGACGTTGGTGAAGGCATTGGTGCCAAAGATGAAAGCTTGATGACTACCGTAGGTACTTTTGCATGTTATTTACGGGTCGTTGATAGAAACATAGTATAGCGAGAACTCTAAGCAGCTTTGGTTTGTGAAGTCTAAAATGTGAAGCACCTGTAACGGCAAGCTGTGTTCAACAAGACATGCTGAGTTTAAGGTCATGTCGTATCAGTACGGTACCTCTTTCCTAAGCCTAGGCATAGGGATCAGGCCCCAAATTTCAAGGGTATTTTACCCTTTTTGCCCTGATGGTAGGCCACTTTTTGGCAGTTACCCTTTCGAAATCAGGGTATGGAACTTTTTACCCTAGCGAAATCAGGATACGATGAAAAGTACTCTTCTAGGTTTTTTAGTTACACTGACTGTATCAGGGTAGGGGCTCAACTACCCTTTTACCGAAACTCTGTTTTACCGAGGATTCTGCCAGTACGCGCCAAGCTGGCCTCTCGATATCAGGGTGATTCACCCTTATGACCCTTACTGTCAAATGTTGTAGCCTATAGTGAGGTTTGTCTTAGGGGGTACAAAACTTAGGGTTAGCTATATGTACCCCAACCAACATCAATGCATCATCCATTCTTCATTTTGACATGGTATCAGTTAGGTTAGGATCCTGTGGGATCCCGTTCCTCCGTTCTCCGTTCGAGCCTCCCGAGCCTGATCCTAGCTCTCATTCGTCCCGGTTCCGTTGTTACCGCGCGTAGTGCCGCGCCTAGCGCCACTCCTAGCGTCGCGTCCTGCCCGCCCTTTCCCCCTCGTCGCGTCCCTTTCCCCCCGTCGCGTCGCGCCCTTTCCCCCCAGTCGAGTCGCGCCCTTTCCCCCCGTCGCGTCGCGCCCTTTCCCCCTCGTCGCGTCCCTTTCCCCCCGTCGCGTCGCGCCCTTTCCCCCCGTCACGTCGCCCTGCCCCGTCCCGTCGCCCTGCCCCGTCGCGTCGCCCTGCCCCGTCGCGTCGCCCTTCCCCGTCCCGTCGCCCTGCCCCGTCGCGTCGCCCTGCCCCGTCGCGTCGCCCTTCCCCGTCCCGTCGCCCTGCCCCGTCGCGTCGCCCTGCCCCGTCGCGTCGCCCTGCCCCGTCGCATCGCGCCCGCCCTTTCCCCCGTCCCGTCGACCCTACGCCCTGGCCCGTCGCCCTAGCCCGTTCTTCCGCTGCGACTAAGTCCCCCCCCCCCCACCTGAACCCTAATTTGCCTCTTACCTCCTGCTGTTACTCGCCTGCTCGTTCGCGTTAGTTCTCGCTATGGCGACTCCGCGAGTTCTTCGTTTCGACGCTGACGGTAGACCTCTTGACTTTTCCGTCTGGCTTCTTCGCGCTCGCCGTCTGTTAGAGAGTCAAGTCCAGGGGGGCGAGACCCTCTGGTCGCACGCTACTGGTGACCTCCCCGAGCCCCCCGAGCCTGCCGCTTTAGGTCCTGCCCCTGACGATGCTGCTACGGCTCGCTTTGCCCGTCAGCGCGCTGACAGGACGGCTTGGACGTCGCGTGACGCTGCGGCCTGCATCGCACTCAGCAGCCTCCTCCCTGAGTCAGAGGAGGTCCACTTCACTCAGGTTCGCACCGCTGCTGCGTACCTCACTGCGATTAAGGCCCGCTACTCTACTCCCGCTACTGTCTCTCTTGGCCGTCTTTTCCTCCCGTTCCTGTTTCCTGATCTCGCCTCGTTTGAGCGCTCTGCTGACTTGATCGCTCACCTCCGCTCGCTCGACGCTAGTTACCGCGCTGCTTGCACTGAGGCACAGCTTGCACTGCTTCCTCCCACTCCGGCCTTCGTACTGCCTTACTTCGTTCTAGTCCACCTCGTCCGTCTCCGTCTGTGCTTCCGTCTCCTCCTGAGTCGGCTCTCACTGCGTCGCTCCCTACTCCTGTCACTGACTACTACCGCACGTACCGTCCTCTTCTCTCTCGTGTTCTCGCCTCGCTTGTTACTCACCCTCGTGCCTCTGTGTCCTCTGTGTCCGCTCTTACTGCCGCAGTCACTGACTTTGCCTCTACCCGCCGCCTTGACTTCGCCACCGCTCTTGTGGCTGCTCCTCCTTCCAGTCCTCTGGCCGTCGGGGGTGTGTCTGCCCTTGGCTGTGACGCCCTAGAGGACAGGCAGTTTGAGCTAGAGTTCCTGGCGGCCGCTTCCCCTCATCTCTGTGCCATGCTCCTCGCCCCTGAGGGTGACCCCGACGCCCTTGACATTCCGACTCCTCGCACTTACGCTGAGGCAGTGTCAGGGCCTTGGGCCTCTCAGTGGAGAGCTGCCATGGACGCAGAGATGGCCTCCTACAGATCCACAGGCACCTACGTCGATGAGGTTCCCCCTCCGGGGGCGAACGTAGTCGACGGCATGTGGATCTACAGGGTGAAGCGGCCACCGGGATCTCCTCCGGTCTTCAAGGCACGCTACGTGGCTAGAGGTTTCAGTCAGCGCGAGGGAGTTGACTTCTTTCAGACCTTCGCGCCCACCCCGAAGATGACCACTCTTCGGGTGTTACTACACGTAGCAGCACAGAGAGACTACGAGTTACACTCTCTCGACTTCTCCACTGCTTTCCTTCAGGGCAGTCTTCACGAGGAGGTCTGGTTGCGTCGTCCCTCTGCCTTCACTGGCTCTTTCCCTCCTGGGACCCAGTGGAGGCTGAGGCGACCGGTTTACGGTCTTCGTCAGGCTCCTCGTGAGTGGCACGACACCCTGCGTTCTACCCTGTCTGACCTTGGGTTCCAGCCGTCTTCTGCTGACCCGTCGCTGTTCGTTCGTCGTGGCCCCACACCTTTCTTTGTTCTGGTCTACGCTGACGACGCTGAGACTCACAGGTCTACTCAGGGGTACTGTTTCAGCCTGGGTTCTGGAGCTGTTTCCTGGCGGTCCACGCGCTCCTCTTCGGTCTCGACCTCTACAGCTGAGGCTGAGATCTACGCTGGTGCCATGGCGGCACAGGAGCTGCGTTGGTTGACCTTCTTGCTCACCGACCTTGGTGAGCGGCCGAGCTCTGCACCGACCTTGTTCACTGACAACAAGGCGTCTATTCTCCTTTGTCGAGAGCCACGACTGGAGAGCAGAGTGAAGCACATTCACGTCAGGTACTTTCTTCTGCGAGAGTTGCAGAGGCGTGGACAGGCTCGCTTTGAGTTTGTGGAGTCCGAGGCCAACACTGCAGACATCTTCACCAAGGCGCTTCCGCCTTGTGACCACCAGAGGTGTTGTGTGCAGTTAGGCCTTGTTGACACTGGTTCTCGTGTTGCTTAGACTTGAGTGTACTGTTTACTTTGCTTTCTATATACCTCTGTTACTTCTTGGACTGGCCTTGTGGCCACTGTTGTTTGTGCTCAGACTGTGTGGTGACGTTGTGATCCACCCTGAGCTTCGTTTCTTGGACTGGTCTTGTGACCGTACTCGTTTGGTTCTGCTAGACACCCCTCACTTAGGCTATGGGGGTGTGTCAAATGTTGTAGCCTATAGTGAGGTTTGTCTTAGGGGGTACAAAACTTAGGGTTAGCTATATGTACCCCAACCAACATCAATGCATCATCCATTCTTCATTTTGACCCTTACTATAAGGGCGGGTTTTACGATGCACCCTTTTTTACAAGACTGGTTTTGTTTTCGACCCTTACAAAAAAAAGTGATCGATTGTACGACACTGATATTTCAGAGCTATGTGGTGTAGTAGCACTGATGAAATCGAGTTCGATCTAAGAGAGGATACTAAAGTGAGTTGCGTGAAGCATACTTAACGCAACGGATGACCGCGCCAGGTTTCAAACCTGGGTGTCTCACATGACTACGAGGACTCAACGCACTGCAACACCAACACCTTTGGTAGAATGGTCAAGCATAATACTTGGCTGTTCGATTGATTTGTTTGCACCCTGATTTTTAAGAGCAGTTTCTGTGAAGCACCCTTACTGAAAGAGTAACAGCTGGGTGTTGGCCTTACGAGGAAGAGTACCCCAAATCCTATCCAGAGGCCTGGCGCCAAGACAAAATGCACCACGGTCCCACTGGACCATTTGTTCGATACACCCACTGGCGCGCCAACGTAGAAGCAGTGCGGATGCACGTGTACACCTACGATTAGTCCGTTGAGCAACATCAAAGCCAACGCACCCGGTTTTCGTGCGCTCCCGAAGCACCGCTCACTGCCAACGTTGCCAAATTGCGCGGCAGGTGGGTTGCGTGCTGTTGTTTGCACCACCTGGCAGTCATTGTGGTCTTGCAGCCTCTGCCATGCAGTTTCCGCTGTGCGCGGGAACCGTGCTGCCTGTGGCCCCTTGGGCTTGTGATTTCCAAGGGGTCTCTCAGACTCTCGCCATTCTCTCACTTGTCTCTCGTTTGTTGTTCCGAATGCCTGCCTCAAAGCCAGATCCGCCTGGTAGCACTAGGAACGGTCTCTCAGTTCTCGGTGTGTTACCTCGGCTGAGAGAGAACTATAGCGTTCCTATTTAACGTGATAGTTAAGTTTGTGTGCAGAAGACTTTAGTGAGTGGTAACTGTTGGTGTAGTAAATATTTGTGCGAAGGAAACAGTGTATGGGATATATTACCCTGCTGACATCAGTGTACCAGAATTTTTAGGCTGCTACAATCAGTGTACGAGAAAAATTACCCTACCAGTCAGGGTACGGAGGGCCTGCCACCCTGATTTGAAAGAGTGAGCTAAAACCTATTTTGGGCCCTGATAGGGATGAAGGGTTTTTAGGTTCATGGTTAAGGGTTGACCAGATGTCAGGCCTGTGGCAAGGCGACGGGGTGCGGTGGTGAGTCGGTGACCACTTACTTTGACGGGGGTAGATTGAGGGGCAACAAAAGAGGTGTATGTTGTTGGAAACAAATGATTTAAGCGCCTCTGTCGTGTCGAAACACGGAGTCGTAAACGAAGCAAGCAACAACGCAACAACGGCGAGTCAACCATCGGAGATTGACATGCACAAGCAACCGCTGGAGGTTACGCGAAAGTCAAAGGTCAGCGACCTTTGACCTGACAAGTACAGTACGACAGCAAGGACACACAACCGACTCGTTATTGAGCGGTTGCCCGAGTCGTCACTGTATCGAACCGCGATAGCAACAGTAAAACAGTTATTAGTTAAATCCCTTGTACTCTTATAAAAACCTTGTATCTCCTTGTTTTAATCAATCTACTTTGCCCTCACATACTAGTGCAAGGTGGTTCAACAATCTTCATTAAACGCTTCCGCTATTACATCATTCCTACCAGGAGTTTAGTCCTGCAAAGATCCTAAGGGCTTTTCTCAGCCCAACATGGTATGAGAGCAAACAGGGCAAACTCAACTACTATCAAGACACCTACAACATCACAAGGCATGGCAACACAGAAGGAAAGGAGCTCCTCTAATGGTTCTCCAGGCACTACTCCTACTCCAACTCCTGCCTCAGGCTTACAGACAGAGGAGGGCACGGCAACGAGACCAGCAGCAAGGTCCACTGAAACTCCTGCGAATCAACCTGCTGGCTTCGACCCAAGCATGATGGAGAAATTCTTCTCCTTCATGTCCTTCTACGAGCAACACCAGCAATCGGCACCTGCGCAGTCAAACAACAGCAACAACAACAACGACGTGACACCCATGAGTCTCGACGGCTCGTCGTACGCGCGCGGAAATCAGCAACAACCTACCTTTGCTCCATGCGAGCCTCAGCGCGGCTCAATCAGCTTCATGTCGTATCAACAAGCCTCACCTGGACAAGAAAGGCCATTGGATGCACTTCAAGCTCAGTCCCAGTTCGCACACGTCCTAAAGCTACAAACGTCAAGGCCATTCGATGGTAAAGATTTCTTCACCTGGTCGTTCGAGTTCTAGTTAATGCTGGAAGGCGCGCAGATTCTTGGCTTCTTCGACGGGTCCCTGCCATACCCAACACATGGGACACAGTACGACAAGCAGCAGTATACGTATCAGTCAATGATGGCATGTACAATCCTGCTGAGGAACAACACTCCAACTCAGCAGCAGAATATTCGGTCTTACCGGGGATACGGTAACTCCGCCGAGCTCGCGTACAACCACTTGAAGAACCTGTATCAAGCAACAGACAGCATCTATCAAAGTCGATTGATGGCGCAATTGACAACAGTCGAAATGAAACCGGGCGAAAAAGGAATGGCGTATATCAGACGCTGTCGCGAATTGCGCGACAAACTCCTTCGATGCGGAGGGTCGATATCGGAAGACGCCTTCGTCACAGTTGTCATTGGCGGTCTTGGTCCTCAGTGGCGCTCCACTCGCGCCATACTCCGAGCTCACGGGAAAATCTCCGAAGCAGCACTCTGCGCCGAGATTCACGCCGAGCAGCAAGACATGGACCTGCAAGAAGAACGGCACAAAAGGAAGACGTCAGTACCTGAGTTCGCTTTCCACACTCAGCGGCGCTACAACAACAACAACAATCGGCATCAACCGAAACCCGTACCTCCGTTCTGCCATCTCTGCAAGACATCAGGTCACCCCCGCACACACTGCCCAAACCGGCAGCAGTCAACACCAACGCAGCGGCAGCTTCACCCTTCAAGCAGTCAAGTCGCCTCAACGCAAGCGAATCCCACCACTCAAGTACAAGCCTCAACAACACCAACGGGACAACCTGCACAAGGAACAAGAAACATCATCAGCTGTATGGCCAAATTAACTGACCGACTCCTGCATCACCGAATCACCACCACACTACTCACCGGAAGAACAACTCGACGAAAGCACTCCACGTCGCGAGACGCTCCAACCGAACCCGACGTACGCTGCCATCACAAAAAGCGAACCGTCCGGGAAAGACACCTGGTTCTTGGACAATTGCTGTGGACAACACATGTGCTCTTCAAGCCGCTTCGTTCAACGGGAATACCAACTTCAACGCGAAGTCGTCATCACCGTCGCCAACAACCAGAACCTGCGCACACGATGTCAAGGCGTAGTTCAACTTCAGTCACGAGAGACAAATGTCATACTGCAGATGTCGAAGGTTTTAATAGCAGAAGGACTCGGCTACAACTTACTCAGCGTCAGCCAGCTGATGGCGAAAGGGATCCATCTTGAGGCAGACAGCTCCACTCAAGAATTCAAACTGTACCACGGGAGAGGCGGACTTTACATCGGGAAAGCAGTATTGAAGAACAACGTCTTCGTCCTCGACTTCGCTCCAGATCTTGGTACCGCCGACAGTGACGGCATCGTGACCTTCACCTCCTGGACATATCCACCAGACCTTGATCCAGACTTCAGCCCCAGCGGCTTCTGGCATTCCCACACGATACCTGAAGCAGAACGAACAAGGGCATTAGCAACGATTCAACAATCGGCAGCAGCAGAGACAACATCGGCAGCAGCAGAAACAACATCGGCAGCAACAGAGACAACGGTAGCAGCAGCGACAACTTCGACACCGATCACTGGCCCTTCAACAACACCCGTTCTCGTCGACAATCCGCCACCAACACCTGCACAACAACTAACGCCAACTCCACGAGAAGTCCATCGAAGTGCCAATTTCACTGCCGGCTTCTACTCCAACTCCGACATGTATCGGCGCACACCGCGCCAGCGAAGAAATCTGGCATGCAAGAATGGGACACCCAAGCAACACAACGCTAAACAACACGATAAGAGCAGGGGTACTCGACAAAGACTCACTGCTCCTGACTGACGGAAGTGAACTTCGACGAGTCCGAGGAACATGCTTCACCTGCCCCGAAGCTGACTTACCACATCAGCCGTTCGTCTCTCACCACAACCCGAGCGCACCAGCGTACGCACCACTGGAGAAGGTGTACAGCGACATCCTACACAACCGTGAACCAGGACAGGGAACATACAACTACGTCATCACGTTCATAGACGCCGCCACACGCTACGTCTGGCACTTCAACCTTCCAAGTCGAGACATGGCCTTCGAAGCCTTCGTCGCCTGGCTCCCAGCGGCAGAACGAGAGTCAGGAGTGAAACTGAAAAGTCTCCAAACAGACGGGGGAGGAGAATATCAGTCACAGCGATTCAAGCAGTACCTGGCAGAACGAGGCATCAAAAGGCTCATCTCCCTCCCCTACGCCCATCAACAGCAAGGCGTGGCAGAAAGGATGAACAGGACTCTGCAGAACACCATGCGCAAACTGCTACGTGGCATGCGGCTACCCACCCACCAGTGGCCTGAAGCGATGGACCACGCTGTCATGCTGCACAACTTGCTCTCTTCGTCGTCACTCCCGAACAACGCATCACCGCACCTGCTGTGGACAGGAAAACTAGGCAGCACAAAAATGCTATGGGTTTTCGGCTGCATGGTACAGTACCGACCCCCAGCTGCACGAGCCGGCCGATTCTCCCAACGCGCACAGTGGGGGCTACACCTGGGCATCGAAAAAAACTACAACGCATGGAAGATTTTCGACATCCACTCAAAAGAAACAGTAGCAGCACGTGACGTCATTTTCTACGAGCGACTCACACTCCCGACGTACCTTGCCAACCTGGAAGTAGACGGGACCCTACAGGTGGTTTTCGTTGTGACCGAGCCTTCACCTCGGCAAAGCTGACTTGAACGAGCAGAACGTGGAAGGAGCCTCGGAAGAAGCCGGACCTCTTCCTTACTGTTCGGTTGATATCCCCATGGACGACGAAAATCCTCGCGAAAGTATCAACGCCGACGTCTTCTACGACCTCGCCGACGAGGGTTACGTTACACCTGCACAAGTCAACACCGACGAAGCAGAACGCATAGGACCAAACTTCAACCCCACACCAAAAGCGGGAGACGAAGCAGTCTATCCCGAGGATACAACACTCCCCCGCTACACACAGAGTGGACTCCAAATACTCGGGCTCGTCACCGCGGTTCACGGCACGGCGATTCCCAAGGAGCCTGCCACATTTCAGCAGGCTCTGGGGGGGGAGCATAGGGAAAAATGGCGCGAAGCCATGGACAGGGAGCTGAAAGCACTGGAGGAACGCAACACCTGGAAAGTCGTTCCCATCAGTGTGGCACAAAACAAGACAATACTCACCGGGAAATGGGTCTTCCGTGTGAAAACTAAGGCAGACGGCACCATCGACAAGTTTAAGGCGCGCTGGGTCGTACGCGGCTTCGACCAGGAACACGGACGCGACTTCACCGAAACGTTCGCGCCGGTCAGCCGCCACACTTCACTGCGAATTCTCCTCGCGATCGCCGCCATGAAGAAAAAGAAGCTGCGACAAATCGACTTCGCCAACGCTTTTGTTTACGCACCTGTCGACGCAGAGATATTCGTTGAGTTACCGCACGGTCCCGATACGGATTCCAACCACGTCTGTCAGCTGTTGAAGTCCCTGTACGGCATCAAACAGGCCCCGAGACTGTGGCAGCAGTACCTGCACGCTAGACTCATGCGCATCGGATTCCGCCAACTACCACACGATCAAGGCATGTACCGGCTTACGAAGGGCACCGACTACATCCTACTGATCGTCTACGTAGACGATCTGCTCTACATCGGCTCGACCGACGGCGTCACTGCCTGGTTCGAAGGGGAACTACTGAAAGATCTCACTCTCACGGTCTCATCAACCGTCACGCAATACCTCGGTCTTAATATTCGAGAAGAAGAAGAGGCGATCTACCTCAGCGCTGCTAAGTACGCCGGCACAATCACCAAACGGTTCGGACTCACCCTGACCGCCATCTCTACGCCATACCGCTACACCATCGCAAACCACAAAGAAGGCTCTACTCCGCTGAAGCCCGCCGACATACGCGACTATCAACGAAAACTGGGATGCCTCCTATTCGCAGCACTCACCTGCGGTCCGGATCTATCATACTCTGCGAGTCAACTCGCCACCTACCTCAAGAAACCTGAAGCAGAACACATGGCAGAGCTCGACCGCGCTCTTCACTACCTCGTCAGCACCCTGACAATTGGCCTAACCTACCACAAGAACGCAACTACAACGCCTAAACTAATCGGCTACGTCGACGCCGATCACGCCGGCGACTCCGACAACAGGCGCTCGCGCACCGGCTACATCTATCGCTTCGAGCCTATCGGACCTATCTCGTGGCAGTCGAGCAAGCAGGAGTTAATCGCCCTCTCCTCAGCTGAAGCAGAATATATTGCACTCTGCTCAGCCACCAAGGAAGGATTGTACCTTCGCAAATTACTAGAAGAAGCGAAGCTGGCTCAGTTACCCAGCTTCTCCCTGTTCTGCGACAATCAGTCGGCGATTCGCATAGCAAACAAGAGCGGATTCGCGAACCGAACGAAACACATCGCCTTGCGATATTTCTTCGTGAAGGACGAGATCGAGAAGGGGAGACTCGAGCTGTCATACTGCCCCACGTCCGAGATGGCAGCCGATTACTTGACCAAGAAGCTCGGAAAACAGAAGTTCGAATACTGCATGCTGCTAACTGGACAGAGCCACGTCACCAACAGCGACACTCCAGAAGCGAAGGGGAGTGTTGGAAACAAATGATTTAAGCGCCTCTGTCGTGTCAAAACACTGAGTCGTAAACGAGGCAAGCAACAACGCAACAACGGCGAGTCAACCATCAGAGGTTGACATGCACAAGCAACCGCTGGAGGTTACGCGAAAGTCAAAGGTCAGCGACCTTTGACCTGACAAGTACAGTACGACAGCAAGGACACACAACCGACTCGTTATTGAGCGGTTGCCCGAGTCGTCACTGTATCGAACCGCAACAGCAACAGTACAACAGTTATTAGTTAAATCCCTTGTACTCTTATAAAAACCTTGTATCTCCTTGTTTTAATCAATCTACTTTGCCCTCACATACTAGTGCAAGGTGGTTCAACAATCTTCATTAAACGCTTCCGCTATTACATCATTCCTACCAGGAGTTTAGTCCTGCAAAGATCCTAAGGGCTTTTCTCAGCCCAACATGGTATGAGAGCAAACAGGGCAAACTCAACTACTATCAAGACACCTACAACATCACAAGGCATGGCAACACAGAAGGAAAGGAGCTCCTCTAATGGTTCTCCAGGCACTACTCCTACTCCAACTCCTGCCGCTGGCCTACAGACAGAGGAGGACACGGCAACGAGACCAGCAGCAAGGTCCACTGAAACTCCTGCGAATCAACCTGCAGGCTTCGACCCAAGCATGATGGAGAAATTCTTCTCCTTCATGTCCTTCTATGAGCAACACCAGCAATCGGCACCTGCGCAGTCAAACAACAGCAACAACAACAACGACGTGACACCCATGAGTCTCGACGGCTCGTCGTACGCGCGCGGAAATCAACAGCAGCAGCCTACCTTTGCTCCATACGAGCCTCAGCGCGGCTCAATCAGCTTCATGCCGTATCAGCAAGCCTCACCTGGACAAGAAAGGCCATTGGATGCACTTCAAGCTCGGTCCCAGTTCGCACACGTCCTAAAGCTACAAACGTCAAGGCCATTCGATGGTAAAGATTTCTTCACCTGGTCGTTCGAGTTCTAGTTAATGCTGGAAGGCGCGCAGATTCTTGGCTTCTTCGACGGGTCCCTGCCATACCCAACACATGGGACACAGTACGACAAGCAGCAGTATACGTATCAGTCAATGATGGCATATACAATCCTGCTGAGGAACATCACTCCAACTCAGCAGCAGAATATTCGGTCTTACCGGCGATACGGTAACTCCGCCGAGCTCGCGTACAACCACTTGAAGAACCTGTATCAAGCAACAGACAGCGTCAACCAAAGTCGGTTAATGGCGCAATTGACAACAGTCGAAATGAAACCGGGCGAAAAAGGAATGGCGTATATCAGACGCTGTCGCGAATTGCGCGACAAACTCCTTCGATGCGGAGGGTCGATATCGGAAGACGCCTTCGTCACAGTTGTCATTGGCGGTCTTGGTCCTCAGTGGCGCTCCACTCGCGCCATACTCCGAGCTCACGGGAAAATCTCCGAAGCAGCACTCTGCGCCGAGATTCACGCCGAGCAGCAAGACATGGACCTGCAAGAAGAACGGCACAAAAGGAAGATGTCAGTACCTGAGTTCGCTTTCCACACTCAGCGGCGCTACAACAACAACAACAATCGGCATCAACCGAAACCCGTACCTCCGTTCTGCCATCTCTGCAAGACATCAGGTCACCCCCGCACACACTGCCCAAACCGGCAGCAGTCAACACCAACGCAGCGGCAGCTTCACCCTTCAAGCAGTCAAGTCGCCTCAACGCAAGCGAATCCCACCACTCAAGTACAAGCCTCAACAACATCGACGGGACAACCTGCACAAGGATCAAGAAACATCATCAGCTGTAAGGCCAAATTAACTGACCGACTCCTGCATCACCGAATCACCACCACACTACTCACCGGAAGAACAACTCGACGAAAGCACTCCACGTCGCGAGACGCTCCAACCGAACCCGACGTACGCTGCCATCACACAAAGCGAACCGTCCGGGAAAGACACCTGGTTCTTGGACAGTTGCTGTGGACAACACATGTGCTCTTCAGGCCGCTTCGTTCAACGGGAATATCAACTTCACCGCAAAGTCGTCATCACCGTCGCCAACAACCAGAACCTGCGCACACGACGACAAGGCGTAGTTCAACTTCAGTCACGAGAGACAAATGTCATACTGCAAATGTCGAAAGTTTTAATAGCAGAAGAACTTGGCTACAACTTACTCAGCGTCAGCCAGCTGATGGCGAAAGGGATCCACCTCGAGGCAGACAGCTCCACTCAAGAATTCAAACTGTACCACGGGAGAGGCGGACTTTACATCGGGAAAGCAGTATTGAAGAACAACGTCTTCGTCCTCGACTTCGTTCCAGATCTTGGCACCGCCGACAGTGACGGCATCGTGACCTTCACCTCCTGGACATATCCACCAGACCTTGATCCAGACTTCAGCCCCAGCGGCTTCTGGCATTCCCACACGATACCTGAAGCAGAACGAACAAGGGCATTAGCAACGATTCAACAATCGGCAGCAGCAGAGACAACATCGGCAGCAGCAGAAACAACATCGGCAGCAACAGAGACAACGGTAGCAGCAGCGACAACTTCGACACTGATCGCTGGCCCTTCAACGACACCCGTTCTTGTCGACAATCCGCCACCAACACCTGCACAACAACTAACGCCAACTCCACGAGAAGTCCATCGAAGTGCCAATTTCACTGCCGGCTTCTACTCCAACTCCGACATGTATCGGCGCTCACCTGGACACCGCGCCAGCGAAGAAATCTGGCATGCAAGAATGGGACACCAAAGCAACACAACGCTAAACAACACGATAAGAGCAGGGGTACTCGACAAAGACTCATTGCTCTTGACTGACGGAAGTGAACTTCGACGAGTCCGAGGAACATGCTTCACCTGCCCCGAAGCTGACTTACCACATCAGCCGTTCGTCTCTCACCACAACCCGAGCGCACCAGCGTACGCACCACTGGAGAAGGTGTACAGCGACATCCTACACAACCGTGAACCAGGACAGGGAACATACAACTACGCCATCACGTTCATAGACGCTGCCACACACTACGTCTGGCACTTGAACCTTCCTAGTTGAGACATGGCCTTCGAAGCCTTCGTCGCCTGGCTCCCAGCGGCAGAACGAGAGTCAGGAGTGAAACTGAAAAGTCTCCAAACAGACTAGGGAGGGGAAAATCCGTCACAGCGATTCAAGCAGTACCTGGCAGAACGAGGCATCAAAAGGCTCATCTCCCTCCCCTACGCCCATCAACAGCAAGGCGTGGCAGAAAGAATGAACAGGACTCTGCAGAACACCATGCGCAAACTGCTACGTGGCATGCGGCTACCCACCCACCAGTGACCTGAAGCGATGGACCACGCTGTCATGCTGCACAACTTGCTCTCTTCGTCGTCACTCCCGAACAACGCATCACCGCACCTGCTGTGGACAGGAAAACTAGGCAGCACAAAAATGCTATGGGTTTTCGACTGCATGGTGCAGTACCGACCCCCAGCTGCAAGAGCCGGCCGATTCTCCCAACGCGCACAGTGGGGGCTACACCTGGGCATCGAAAAAAACTACAACGCATGGAAGATTTTCGACATCCACTCAAAAGAAACAGTAGCAGCACGTGACGTCATTTTCTACGAGCGACTCACACTCCCGACGTACCTTGCCAACCTGGAAGAAGACCGGGACCCCACAGGTGGTTTTCGTGGTGACCGAGCCTTCGCCTCGGCAGTAGACAAAGCTGACTTGAACGAGCAAAACGTGGACGGAGCCTCGGAAGAAGCCGGACCTCTTCCTTACTGTTCGGTTGATATCCCCATGGACGACGAAAATCCTCGCGAAAGTATCAACGCCGACGTCTTCTACGACCTCGCCGACGAGGGTTACGTTACACCTGCACAAGTCAACACCGACGAAGCAGAACGCATAGGACCAAACTTCAACCCCACACCAAAAGCGGGAGACGAAGCAGTCTATCCCGAGGATACAACACTCCCCCGCTACACACAGAGTGGACTCTGCTGGCTAGGCGGGGAGGAGAGGAGGCATTTAAGAAGAGAAGCGAAAGCTTGATGAATTAGGGGCAGGTGGGGCACTGCTGCTGTTGCTGCTGCTGCTGCTGCTGCTGCTGCTGCTGCTGCTGCTGCTGCTGCTGCTGCTGCTGCTGCTGCTGCTGCTGCTGCTGCTGCTGCTGCTGCTGCTGCTGCTGCTGCTGCTGCTGCTGCTGCTGCTGCTGCTGCTGCTTCTGCTGCTGCTGCTGCTGCTGCTGCTGCTGCTGCTGCTGCTGCTGCTGCTGCTGCTGCTGCTGCTGCTGCTGCTGCTGCTGCTGCTGCTGCTGCTACTGCTGCAAGGAGTGCGGGCGAGAGCTCATTGAATGCACTGTCCGATGCTAATAGCAGCACCTGGTAAGGCGGGGTAGAGATGAGTCATTTAAGAGAAGACAACTTGAATGAGAGGCACGGGAGCAGTGCTGCTGCAAGGAGTGCAGGCGAGAGCTCCTGAAATAAGCTGTCTGATGCGAACAGCAGCACCTGGCGAGACGGAGTGGAGAGGAGGCAGTTGAATGGGAACTGCAGTTTTCTCATGCGAATGGCGACTTAATGGATGGCGTACAGAGAAGGAATTGTTGGAGCATGAGGGTGAGAGGGGTGAGAGGGGAAGGAGGGGTGAGAGGGGTGAGAGGGGCGGGAGAGGTGAGGGGTGAGAGGGGCGAGATTGAGAAGGTCCAGACAATTACATTCAGGTGTGGTATGGATTGATCAGGCGTGGTCAGATGAGGTCAGGTGGGTTTTAAGATAGAGATTAGACCAGCCATGGATGGCGAGAGAGTTTAGGCAGAGTTATCTCGATAGATGTGGGTGCAAGACTACAGAGGTGATTGGGAAAAGGCCAACTGAACCTAGGGCGTGTTCAGTCTAGGAACAAACTGCGAAACGAGCCTAAACTGAACCTGAAATGAAACTAAGTCTAAAACTGGCTGGAAAGATAATATAAGGCCAGAATATAGTACAGAGCGAAAACTAGCCTACTCCAGCAGTGCGGTCAGGTGTGGTTATGCGGCTCACCTAATGCCGTCTGCTTGGCTCACCCGCTTGCCTGCCCACAGAGGACGAGGAGATGGCAGAGGAGGTCACCTCTGTGTATGTCAGCAGCAGCGGCAAACACCTCACCTCACCTCACCTCACCTCACCTCATCTCATCTCACCTCACCTCACCTCACCTCACCTCATCTCATCTCACCTCACCTCACCTCATCTCATCTCACCTCACCTCACCTCACCCCACCCCATGCACCCACCCACCTCACCTCACCCCACCCCATGCACCCACCTCACCTTCTTGGCAATGGGGGAGGAAAGTATGGCAGCAGATGTCTCCTCGGTGTACATCAGCAGCATTGGTAGCCATCTTATCTCACTTCACGCACCCAACTCACCCCAGTTCATGCGCCTCACCTGCTTGCCAATGGGAGAGGAGAAGATAGCACCGGAGGTCTCCTCAGAGTACGTCAGCAGCAGTGGCAGCCGGTTGGCCGCCAGAAACGAGCTGATGGTTTCCTTGCTGTACTCGCCGCCTGGGGGAGGGGGGGGGCAGGGCAGGGAAGGGGGGAGAAGGGAGGAGTGTGCGTAAGAGAAAGGAAGAAGGGGAGGGGGGGGGTCAGCAGCAGCGGCAGCCGGTTGGCCGCCAGGAACGCACTGATCGCCTCCTTGCTGTACTCGCCGTCTGTGTGTTGGGTGTGAGGGGGGGTGGAAGAGGAGAGAGGAGGGCGGGGGTGGGGGAGAGATGGGGGAGGGGTGGGGAGAGGGGGGGAAAGGTGGAAAGAGGTGGGAAGAGGTGGGGAGAGGTGGGGAGAGGTGGGGAGAGGTGGGGAGAGGTGGGAAGAGGTGGGGAGATATGCGAAGAGATCCTGGGACCTCCTTGCGGTACTCGCTGTCTGACGGAGGGAGGAGTGTGCATGTGTGTGCATGTGGGTGTGTGTGCAGGCGTATGCATGCATGTGTGTGTGAGTGCGTGCTTGTGTGCACGTGGGTGTGTGTGTGTGTAAGGTGGGTAAGGGGAGGGTGTCTCCTCTGTCACCACCACTGACAGACCCACAATTCGCCACCCCACCAACCCAAGCCCCAAACCAGCCCTTCAGTTCCTCACAACGCCGCCAAACACTTGTGTCCAGTGAGAGTGCGTGCGCTGTGCACTCACCAAATGCTACCACCCTCTCCTGTGTGCAGAGTAAGGGGCGAGTTTTGAGACGTCTCAAAAGCCACCAAATACTACCACCCTCTCCTGTGTGCAGAGTAAGGGGCGAGTTTTGAGACGCCTCAAAAGCCACCAAATACTACCACCCTCTCCTGTGTGCAGAGTAAGGGGCGAGTTTTGAGACGCCTCAAAAGCCACCAAATACTACCACCCTCTCCTGTGTGCAGAGTAAGGGGCGAGTTTTGAGACGTCTCAAAAGCCACCAAATACTACCACCCTCTCCTGTGTGCAGAGTAAGGGGCGAGTTTTGAGACGTCTCAAAAGCCACCAAATACTACCACCCTCTCCTGTGTGCAGAGTAAGGGGCGAGTTTTGAGACGTCTCAAAAGCCACCAAATACTACCACCCTCTCCTGTGTGCAGAGTAAGGGGCGAGTTTTGAGACGTCTCAAAAGCCACCAAATACTACCACCCTCTCCTGTGTGCAGAGTAAGGGGCGAGGCACTGCTGTGTGCAGTGCAGCGCGATGGAGGTGGCATTTACCGAACACCACACCAGCCGAGATGATATCCCCAACACATGCATGCACCAAGGTGGGCAGTCCACTCGCCGAACACCACACCAGCCGAGATGATATCCCCAACACATGCATGCACCAAGGTGGGCAGTCCACTCGCCGAACACCACACCAGCCGAGATGATATCCCCAACACATGCATGCACCAAGGTGGGCAGTCCACTCACCGAACACCACCAGCCGCTCCTCCTCCTTCTTCATCACGGCCAGGGAGGGCTGCTCGCCAACTGGAAGGCCGAAGGCGGCCGCCACGTCAGCATGCGTGGTGACGAAAAAGTCCACCCCGTCCGTGTCCCTTGCTGCCTCTCTGAACGCTGCTGCCTCTGGGCCCTGGTGGGAGAGAAAGCAGGAGGTGGGCAGGGGTGGAGGAGGAAGAGAGGGGAGGAGGAGGAAGGGAGGGGAGGGATGAGGGGAGGGGAGGGGGAGAAAGGGAGCGGAGGGATGAGGGGAGGGGAGGGGAATGAGAAGAGGGGAGGGACGAGGAGAGGGGAGGGGGGTGAGGGGAGAGGAGGGAAAGGGAAGGAAGTGAAGGGAGGGGGATGAGAGGAGCGAGAGAAGGTGAGAAAAGAGAAAAGAGAAAAGAGGAAAGAGGAAAGAGGAGAAAAGGAAAGAGGAAAGAGGAAAGAGGATGAGGAAGGGATGAGAGGGGTTGGAAGAGGGAGAAAAGGAGGGAGGGAAGAAAGGAGGGAGGAGCGCATGAGGGAGGGAGGGAGGGAGGGAGGGAGGGAGGAGGAAGGGAGGGAGGGAGGGAGGGAGGGAATCTGGCATCGCACTTGGCAATACACTCACGAATTACCCGACCATGTTTCTCTGCATCACCATGTTTCTCTGCATCTGCCCCTGTCCGTCACTCTCACTCTCCGTCCCCCCCCTTCCCCCCTCTCCCCTCACCCCCTCTTCCCCCCTCCACCCTCTCCCCCCCTTCCCCCCTCCTCGTCAAGAACACACAGCGCATGCACCGCACAACACTCACATACCATACAGCACTCATGTACCACACAGCACTCACGCACGCACCACACAGCACTCACGTATGGTTTGAAAGGTCAGGTTTGAGCAACGAGCACAGATGGAATTGATTGTGCGAGGAGGGTTGCGAGTGAGGCGCATAAAAGAGCTTCAAGGCTGGCCTTTCATTATCACACGCGCGTGCAGCACACGGTAGGTGCGAGATCGATTTGTTCCATAGAGCCTACCTGGTTCGCCCGGCGCCGAACGGCTGAAATTCGCCATCCGTGGCGAAAAGGATGGTCGACGTTGTACTTGTCGGCGAGCTCCGTTTCTTTCGTCGCATCCACCTTCCCGAAGAGCACGCCGAGCTCCTTGAGCTCCGCTGCTGCTTCGCGATACTCGGGCGCGAGGGCCCGGCAGTGGCCGCACCACGGCGCATAAAACTCCACCATTACGTGCTTGTGATCGCTGATGGCCTGCGAAAACGTCTCCGCTGTCAGTGCGACGACGTCCCCGCCGTCGCCGGCCGGGATGTCGTCGTCGTCGCCCGCGTCGTCGTCCTCGTCGTAAGCGTACCGCTCGTCGTCGAATTCTTCGGCATTCACGAAGAGCGGACGCCTCACGAAGGGCTGTGAGGCTACAGCGAGAACGAGTAGCGAATGCAGGACGATGAGATACGCGCGCCCTTTGCTCATGGCGACTGGCCGCACGCGAGCGACGCCAAAGAAGCTCGTCCATACGAGCCGCGCACGGTGCTACTAGGGAACTGCTGAAATGATGAGGCTGATGTGACCGTTGCTTGCTGATCGCACTAAGATGATCAAAGGTGCTGTTCGCCAGCACCTGTGAAGCAAAAAACCATGGGATGATGACGGGATCAGGAAGGTGGGTCTTGCCTTCCTGATCCCGTCTGTTAGGGTTCGTTTACCTCCGTCAGCCTGGTCAGCCCGTAAAAAAAGTGCCGAGCCTCCCCTACCGTCCAAACCAACAATCAAAGTGGGTGTCTGGCGAACGCCCCCATTTGTCCACCAAATCGAATTGCTCGATGGCATATGGAAGCGAGGACGCACCTTCGTCCCTCGGCAAAATTCCATCCCCAAGCCATGCCATCGCCATGCCGCGTTTTTCAAAGGACAGTGATGGCACAGTCGTCGCATTGCCGTTCAGGGGGGAACCTCTGAACGAGCCATTTGTTTGGCAATGGGGGGTTCGAATACCCCCCATTTTTCCCCTCCCGAACACACCTTCAATGAGCCGCCCGCAAGGGGGTGAGTTGTGAGGTGTGTCTGGGCATGTGCAAGAGGTGGCGGAGGTTGTGTTTGTGCAGCGTCGGGTTTCATTTGCGTTTTTTACCCACGTCGAGCAATTTTTTGTCATCGGGCAGCACAAGGGTCAGTGAGGGTAAAGTTTCGCGCCATTGGGGGGAATGTGGGGACGGAGGTTCCCGATGCGGTTGCGTAATTTCGCCTCTCGGGCGTGAGAAGTTTCTGGGGCGGCATTACGCGCAAACCTCGGAGGAGGATTCCGCGTAAGTTTCCAGATGCGGTCAAGATACCGATACCATCTTCTTCTGTTCAAATTACGATTTGGTGGCGAACAGCACCAAAGTTTGTACTATATGTATTACTTTGACGTTGCATTGCTCGTGGCCACAGCCAGTGCGAGGCTGTCATGGCAGTGACGCCACCGTCTGTTCTCCGGCATCCGGACCCTTCGGCATGCTTTGGGACGGTGTCCCAGTACGCCGCATGGGAGCACCGGGCCATGATGCAGATTGTCCCACTTGTCGCTCATCTGCCTGGCCACGAGGACATTGCCCGCGTGGTCATCCTCTTCAACGAGTGGTACCGCACGTATTTCCGTG